CTGGACTTGTGATCCCGCTGTTTTTGCTCAATCGTTAACCATATGCAAAGCATGTCGGCTCACTTGTATGAAAGTCCGATTTATTAGGTATCATTTTTGTAATGAATTTATCATTCTAATGAAGAGTTCTATCATTTCTACTCATTCTTATACTTACCTTTATATCCAGCAATGTGAAAGTCTTTTGTATCTGTGAATATCGGGTTCACACACAAAACATGTCCTGTTTAGTCTGTGAAAAAGATGTACGCATAAAAAAATCTTTCTCATTGATGAATATAAAAGTGATGGATATAAGAGTGCGTACAAATAGTATTTTTCTTTGAGCGAATAAATAAATGGAACAACAAGAACAAGTCGTAGTAGGGACTTGGTGAGCTAGACGTAGTGAACTCATGAACATTGACTGACGGGTAGCTCAGTTCGTTCAGTGGTGAGAAATTTGGAACAAAAACCAATGTTCGAAATCCACAATGCCCGTGTGGAGGTTACAACTCCTGCGTGCTGGACTGAACTTCTGTTGCGCACCGATATAAGGTTTACCACTATTGAATTGATTGAATCATCGTAACTTACTCCTCCACCATTTTATCGAGTCTGGGGTGTGAGCCTCCGGGGTTCATGGGGTACGTTTGGAGATTCCACTTTTGGAACAACCGATGAAAATCTATGACTATCCGCAATTCCGCATAGATCGACACGGAAGTCTCCTTGTACTGTTCTCATCCATTATTGCGGGGTTGGTAGCTGAAAGCGAATCCTAATCTAAAAGTTATCACTGATCAGATATTTTGGTGGCCGGCGCGCGGGATATATAGTATTAGTAGTGTCGCATAAGCTACATGGTAAACTATATGATTATTAGCAGATATTCCCAAAACGATCACTAATTAAAGATAAGAAAAGATTGATGCGGAGTTTATGTTAAAATATTGTTACATTATTATTTAGACCAACTTCTATATATGGAGTAATTGGCCGACACAAGTGTTGACAAGAATGTTGACTAGAGTCATCCAAAAGGTCACAATGGTCCGTTGGTCACGATACTTCACATTTGTGAGTTTTGAGATCTCACAGTAATTAGCAATTTAGCATGTACTGTTTAGTCGGAATAGTTTTCATTTAAACATGAATCTTTGGATTTGGTCATTAGAGGATCGCCGGCCGGAAATAGTTACGGAGTAGTATTAGTTTCATTATATATGAGAAATGTGTTATACATTATCTAGCTGTGCTGTTCGGTTACGGTTTTATCGATTCGGTTTTGATTTCAGTTTGGTTTTTAATCGGTCAGTTTTAGCCGTTTTGGACTAAAACTGGAGTCTATAAATGTAACTACCCTCCAAAGTCTCTAAACCGTTAATTCCGGATCTGATCACAGTCACACTCGTCAGTACTGCTTCCAAAAGACGAATCCAGCAAGACTTACATCACCCTTTATGCTGCTCCTCTTCTCCCCTAAATGTGTGCCTAGCGTGATTCGAACCCGAGACCTCCGCTAGGACACGGTAACCTCTCATCCAGTGAGTTGGAATGGTTGGTTATATCAAACTAAGATATATTTAGCCACAAGTTCTTATTTGCATTCTTACATTCTTCATCTATATTTTATACTCCGTAATAGATTTTATGATGTCGTTTGCAGGTTTTTTTGTTGACCCAATCTAGTGAAAAGTAAAACAAAAATTGTTATTTTTCTTTATTGCTAACAGTATTTATATTATTAAAAAATTACTTGATTGTATTTTTTAAAAGGTGTTGGTCCAAAATAGGACGCTCGTAGGCTTTTAGGAAAGCTACGTACGACACTCAAGCAAGAATTAGGAAAGTACGAATATGGAAAGTTAGCCAGAAATAGCATATCTGTATTTGAAATTCGAATTACCTTTTATAGGCGATTACAAATGGTAACTGCCGAACATAATAATGACTAAATTAATTACAACATTAATACGGAATTAAACACATAATTAAGTAGCGCATTGACTGTCTGCCGTTACTCTTCCTGGCTGGCAGGTCAGCCTGGCTGGCAGGCTGGACGCTTGAACTCCCTCCTGCTGGACTGGATGGTGGGCTTCCCACTAGGCTGAAGGAAGGCTTCTGACCGGGCTGGAGACAGGCTCCCGGGTAGGCTGGAAGGCAGGCTCCCCGTTGGGTTGGAGGCAGGCTCCCACCTGGGCTGGACTGCAGGCTCCCAGCTGGGCTGGACCGCAGGCTCCCAGCTGGGCTGGTGGTCGGTAGGCTTCTGGCTAGGCTGGAAGGCAGGCTCCCCACTGGGCTGGAAGGCAGGCTCCCCACTAGGCTGGAAGGCAGGCTCCCCGCTGGGTTGGTCGACAGGCTCTCTCGAGCTTCCGCTCCTTGATTGTCGTGATTGGTTGGGCCGACTCGAGCTTTGGGTTGCTGGGCTTGGGCCTGCTGGTCCAAGTTCGGGGCCTGGGCCGATTAAGCTCTGGGCCTAGTCCCATAACCCCATCAAAAGTTATTTCAAATATATTTTAAAAATATGAATACTTAGTTTTTCATTGTTTGAACTCTCATTTAGTCTAAAAAAATTATAAAAGAGTAAATTTAAAAGCTTCAAGTAGATTTATGCAACCAATTCCAATAATAATGTTTTCCTAATTAAATAGATTGAGTGATTTGGATTTAATTAGAGATGAACTAAAAATAAAATAGTACATATTACAAAGATGAAGGGTGGGCAAACTAACCGAACCGGCATGGTACCGAATCGGACCGGTATGGTACCAGATCGGAAAACGGGATTTCAAAAGGTTATCAAAATTTTTGTCCCGAACCGGACCGGACTAATTCCAAACCATGCCATGACCGGTTCTCATAAAATGAAAACAGGTACCGGACCGAACCGAACCGAATTATAATTTTATTAATTTATATAATTTTATAATTATATATACACGTATACCATATTACCATTACTTTGATTACTCATTTGCACTTTGCTAATTGCTAGTTAACCGGATCAGTAAAAATTATTAGTATTATATGAAATTCATTAACTGTGTTATTGCTAGTTATTTATGTTTTGTACTATTATAGTTTATAACAAATTCATTAACTATGTAATACTACCTCTGTCCCAAAAAAAATTTCCATTTTCAAAACTTTGATCAATTATATTTTTTTGTTGATAATTATTTATAATATAAAAATTTTATAAAAATGTTCTTTGTCAAAGATACTTTCATAAAAGTATAAAATTTATAACTTCCATAATACTATACTAATCAAAATCATGGTTCAATTTTTTTGAAATGACAAATTTTTTTAGGATGGAGGTAGTATGAAAATTGATAATTGTGTGAATTTTTGGATGATGATTAAGTTTTAATTTATCGAAAAAAGTGACATTGTTTGGCATTGGTATGACATGGTACCGGACCGTTTGAAAATGGAACCGAACCGTACGGGTTTAGGTCTAAGACCGAACCGTTTCAATAGTAACGGTCCGGGTACGGGTTCGGTAAAATATTGGACCGGACCGGACCACACCCACCCCTAACAAGGATGACTTTTTTACTTCAAAAACCTAAAACAAAGATTAAGAAGAGAACGTGTTTGCCAAAAAAGAAAAGAAAATGTGAATAGTATAATTATGTTAGATCTATTTAAGAACTGAGTTAATATATTACTTTCGTTCTCTTCTAGTTGTAATATTGGTGATTTTGCATTATTAACATAAAATGAGATAAATTTTCAAAATCTTAATTTTTTAAATTTTTTACTAATAAAAAATGAAAGAAATTAATGATCAAACTTATGCGTTGAAAAGAATGGAGTAATATACTAAGTTATTACTTCAAATTAATTTTTTCCGAATAAGTTATTCGTCGTCGATATGAATGCCTTTTGTTGAATATGATACGTAAAGGACTCAGCTCACAAATAGAGGTGTTCATGTTCCCATTGTGTAAGACATAACCAGAAAAATAATAATGACTTCGTAGAATATTTTTGGTAGTGAACGTATTTTCTCACTTGGCTATTATATTGGTGTAACCCCAAACCTAGCTCGACAATTTTTCCTTCCTCAATCCCAATCGAAGCACTTTTTGGGTTTTACATTGTACACATTTCACCATTAACTTGGCAAATAATCAATGCATCGTGGCTTTATATATGATGCATTGATACTTCGCCTTGATGTCGTATCAGTGTATTCGATACATATCCAAAATATATACTCACTGATATGTGTCTTCTACGTATTGGGTCCGTATCCGTAATATAATAAAAGTGTTGGGCTTATTTAAAAAAATACCGATACTTTCGATGCACTACGTATCCGTGAATCGATACACGTATCTAACTCTATAACCCTAATTTCATATACGACATGACAAAATTTAGTAGTCACCCAAGCGATTAAAAGACGTGGAACATTAGTAAATTTGATTTTGGGAGTATGTAAAATATTGGAATACTATAATTTGTCAATTCATCGCTTGATGAGCATTAATTGAAACCAATCTTGTTAAAAGACTTAGATGTATATGCAAATAGAGAACCAAAAATATTATTTGAATTTAAATCGAAATATCAGGACTTAGTTTTTTTAGTCTAATCTTTGAAATGTTATTATAATTGTTAATTTTTGGTACTATTATTATTTTATTATGAACCTTTGAATTATATATATTTGCAAGTTATACCCTATATTATTTTTATTTATAAATATGCTCCCGTACCCGTATCCTATATTTTTTGAAGTTGCCGTATCGCCATACCCGTATTCACGTATCGACGTATCCGTATCCGTGCAACATAGCTGTGGGTTGGCAAGGTGGCAGTTTACGATTATTATTATTATTATTATTATTATTATTATTATTATTATTATTATTATTATTATTATTATTATTATTATTAGTTTTTGGCACTATTGCTAGATCATTTGATTTATCATGTTCAACTTTCCAAACCTCTTATTAATCTTTGCTCATCTACTTTTACTTTGCACTGGTACGGTATTTGAGGTCGAGTTCTTGCACGATAATGTATAATTTACTCTTTCAAGGGTCACGAGACGTAGAAACAAATCCATATATATTTGTAGTTTGTACAACAATTATATTCAAATAGATAGAGAAATGCCCCTAGCTATGGTATAGTATTAGAATATAATGATGAACATATTATATGGTAAATATAATTAACCATCTCTTTGATCTAATAACTATATTATCACCATCATCATCATCATTATCATATTTCCCCATGCATACTCAAGGTGCTCTTCAATGAAAGAAAGTCACCCATGCGAGGTGTAGTGTATGGGCCTTGAAGCAATCCTGCAGCTATGGAACGATAGGCGGACTCAGTCAAATGCATTCCATCCCAGCTAACATACACGGAAGGGTCATCACACACCGTTGACCTTGCCCCGCCGCATTCAACCGACGAGTCATAATTATATGGACCTCCTCCCCCACAACATGCACTTGTGCTACTTTCAAATCCTGTTACATGCATCACATACAAAAATCATCAATTAAATATCACATCTTCTTATTTGATGGTGGATTCACACACCAAAAATTTGTGAAGGAATTAAACTTTATATTAAGATCCGAGTTTCTTCTCCTATCAGGTTGACCTTTTAGGATGAAATCTCATGTTTTAACATTTTCTTAAATTGTGTCTCCATTAGGGCAGAGTCTATTAGGTGGATACAGGAAGAGACTGAAGGGGACCTCGACCCTTCCATAATATGTAGTACTCCGTGCGTTTTACTAGAACATATTTCGTATATGTTAAGATATTAGTGTTTGGCTTCCGGAAAATAATTTTCTTAAACTCAGACCCCGCTCTAGATCATATTCCTGACTCTATAACTGTTTCTCTATGATATACTCCCTCCGTTCCGAAAAAGTTTGGCAAATTGACTTTTCTTGGTCAATGACAATCAACTTTGACCAATGATATTTTCCAAACGAAATTATTTTGAATATGAAAATTATATTAAAACGTTCCTTATTCAAAATATTTTCATAAAAGTAGACAATTTATAAATTTTTTACAAAATATAAAAATTGAAATCATTGACCAAAGTTGCCATCATTGATAAAAAAGTCAATATGACGAACTTTTTTGAGACAGGGTAGTACGAATGATCATTCAAGCATAAAGAAATAAAAAAGTGTCTCGGAGATGAAAATTACCAAATTGACTAGGCGTGCGATAAATTCTCATTGCCGCGTTGTAATAATCAGCGTAAATAATATTGACATTAGGATGAAGTTGGCGAAGGCGATCGAGTTCATCCTGAAGGAGTTGATTATGGATTCGAGAGAAGTCATTAAGCCAGTTTAGACAACCAGTTTTAGCATCATAATCCTTCTTATTCGTAGTTGAGAATAGAGTGAGATAGGCCGCTGAGCATCCAATGGGCAGATTTCCGGGAACTATTAGTGTTTGAGCACCAAGTTCGATCAGTTCCTGCATATATCGATCGGTCATCCCCGATTATGTCAGATGATAAAACTAAGTAAATAAAAAAAATTACTATGGTAAATAAAAGTTAATTACGCATTAGGAAAAGACATATACTCACATTAATAGCTAAGCTTATAGCGTTAATAACGTTTGGGACATATGTTACGACCTCTTCCTTGGAATGGCCTTGCATAAAGGGATGATTGTAGTCGTTTCCTCCGATTTCTCCCATTAGAATTAAGGAATTTTGCAGATACTCTTTGCAACCTATACAAAATGAAAAAAAAACAACTTAATCCAGAATTCCATCTCGACAAAAAAAGAATTAGAGAGCATTTTAAAACAATTACAATCTTGTTATATAATGAAGAATTACGGTTTGAAACAAAAAAACAAAATAACTTTCATTGATTATTTTTATGTTTACATAACGACACTATGATCATAATAACTTTATCATATTTTTATAAATAAATTTTATTTGAATAATACTTTTGTAAAATTTCTGGCATATAATTTGTTTACTTTATTGCTGTTAGTAGTCATCCTACCAATTCACACTTCTTAAAGTATGATTGATTAGGCTACGAAAAAGTTGGTGAGGCAAGAAGACCAATCCGCCACCCACTTTATACGTAGTCATAAACTAACAAAAGAAGCCGTCAAAGTCAAATACTCATCAATTCAGACTATGAGATAACACTATGAAAGTGCATGGCTCGATCGATCTATTGTCATTAGACACGTACTATTAATTAATTATTACCTTAATTGTTTTTTCCACCTAGGAAGAATGTTTCACAAGTATGGGAATGGGATCATAATCAACTCGTAAGTGCTGATCGAGAGGATTCCATATTGCCATTACACTGTCAAAAACGTTAATGCAAATAGTCGTGTAGAGTATCTTTTACGTATCTTCTACCTACTCCGAAAATACTTGGTCCTTAAATTCTCTAGTTGAAAGCAATTAGTTGAACTTTAAAGAAACGTTGAAAGCTTAGTTGAACCAGAAAAGCAACCAAATACATACGGGGCGGGTAAAACAAAAGTGGTATTCCTAAGGTCTTGGCCGGTCCTAAGATCAAATCGGGACCATTTTTTTTTAATTTTAATCGAGATCAGGATCAGGACATGTTCCTAGGTCCAGATCGGTTTATGATCGGGGATGGGTATATAGGTTCTCGTCCCGGCCCCCGAGCCTCACTTTTTGGGACAGACAAACCTATCTGGTTTCGATCCCATTTTTCCATAAGTTCTAGTTGAACTCTGTTGGCCGGATTGAGAATCTTTAATTTGAATTGAATAGGACGATTCATTTCTTTATTTTGCTGTTTTGCACATTCTCCTCGAAAGAAAAATGTAACCTTTTGAATATATAGAAATGCACTTTCATGCTTATAGCTAGTGACTAACATGGGTGTAGTTATAGTGTCACCCAATTACTTCATATATTCCATATGCGTAACAAACTATAGACTACGTATTTTTTTATACAACACCATCTTTATATTTTGTACTACGTATGATTACCTTAACCACAAATAATTATTTCATATATTCCATATGCAATGAATTATATATACGGAGTAAAAAATCGTTATATTAGTTCAACTAATTAATATTTTGTCTCGTTAAGGTCTTAAGGACATTGATGAATGATGAGGAACTTGTTACATGTTGAAGTTAATACTATTTACATCTCACAACGTGAATAATAGTAAATGTTCCAAAACTTTTCACCCAAAAACCAGTAAAGTCATCACCCGTTTCATGCATAACTAATTGGAAAGAAATAAAAGTTGTAGAATGAATCTGCCCGTGACTTGCACGGGAATTGCACGGATTGTTTATTTATTTACGTTGTACGGAGTATTTGTTAGAGAAATTTATAGACAATAAAAATATTATATTTCAAAATAAAGACATTTAAGATATCATATTTTATTTTTTGCATTTGTTTTACGAGTTTTTTTCATTCCGATCCGACTTACTTGATCCAGTTCCACATAGAGAAGGAAGCATTTGTTTAAACCATTCCAATTCAGTCCCCAACGAAACATTTGTGCTGGGGTTAACGACTCCTCTTTCCGCAAAATAAGAAACATCTAGTGCGGTGGCTCCGGCCACCGCGAAATTCACGCCTTCAATGAACTGTTCGCCGACGTTACCGGTTTTCACCGCCACGGAAGGCGGCAGAAGCGGGAATCCCATGCTCTGGGCTGCACAGTGCACCAATAATATTAACATTTAAGTGTACGTACGGATTATACATATATACACGCGTTACATTCTTTTTGGGTTTAGAAGTGTCACAGTAACATTTTCTACGTACCTATAAAGTCAACGACGAGACGACCGTCGGAGAAGCGACCGGTAGGGTGGTGGAAATAGGTCTCTCCGTACGGTAGGACGCCGGAGACGACGTTGCTTTTGGATATCGAAAGGCGGACTAAATTCCCGGTATCGGCGAGGGAGTCGCCGAAACTAATGATTGACCGGTACTGGCCATGAACGGAGCAATTTGAGGCTAACAATAATAGAACGTAAACTACAGAAATTAACATGAAAGCCATAGAAGAAGAAGCATCCATGGAAAATGCACAATTAATGTTACTTCTAGATCTATTTTTGTTGAACGAAGATCAAAAGGAGAATATTTGTATTGATGTAAATGGCTTATTATTACAAGTGTATGTTTACAAGAGGCTTTGCACATCAAAGTCCCCTGCCGAATCTGTTTCTTTGGCGCACATTTATAGAGGTGGGAGTTCACCTACCAAGTCAAAATAGGACACTAAAGTAAAACTCTCTTATCCGTATATTGGGACCTACCCGTGACTGTGTGAGTGGCATAGCTTCTCTGACTGAGCAAAAAGAATGACCTCAAACTCACTCAAACATTATCAATATAGATAATACTCCCTCCCCTTATAACTTTGCTATCTTTCTTTTTTTTGATGTTACAAAAATTTTGTCATTTTCCCTTTAATCAATGAATTTGTGATTGCTATTATTTCTCTCTCCTCTGCACATATATCAACCACACAGTTTTTACTTTATTATTTCTCATGCCGGTCACACATGACAAAGTATTGAGGGACGAAGAGAGTATTTTAGAAAAATCATTATCCTAACAAAATGACATTATTGCTTAAGAATATCAATTTGGTTTGATGATGATAATTACTTGTACAGTTGTACAAAATGGCAGTTATATCACCCTATTAAAGTTTGATAATGCAAAAGCTGGTAGTAAGATAAATGTTGGTTGGGAGTAACTCATTCCTATTTAGGAGAAAATGACGAATCTGATAGAGTAGCATGTATGAGAAGTCCCTATTTTGTGTAAGGGATTAACTACACGAAAGACTGGGGAAGGAAAAGGACGAAGTTCAAGTATTCTTTGATCCAAAAGGTGGAATCTCCCACCCCGGAGCTCCCCACGTCTCGATCCGACAGAGCATATGGGAGAATGTAAATCACGGTGACTCAGTCGGTGAAGTAGCAGTAGGCTCATATGCCTCGTGCGCATCAGAGATCCAGGCCATTTCAGAGGTTGTGACCTCTACACGATCGCTTCGGGGACTCGAACCAGGGTTCCTTGATCCTAATTCTCGCCACTCAACCAACTGAGTTACCTGTGCGGGTAAGTTCAATTATTCATTCACATATATCTAGAGTATAAGGATGTTTTTACTTGAACTGTAATTCGTCCGAGACCAAACCAGACCAGACCAGACCAGTTCAGACCAGACCAGACCAGACCAGACTTGGATAGTTATAAAAATACAAAGAAACCAGACCAGACCAGACCAGTTCAGACCAGACCAGACCAGATCAGATCAGACCAGACCAGCAAATTACAGTCCAAGTAAAAACATCCTAATGGTAAAATTAGTTATTAATCTGCAGATGTGGGGCTACACAAGGTGTGGACATATCACATATGTGTTTAGAGTCTTCAAGATATAATTAAGTAGCTAGTGAGACAGGAAGACACAATGAATGCGAGCACCAAGTAGAAGCTCTATTTTATATGACATCTAACAAACTCTGGACCAAGATAACGCTTGGATAGTTTAATCGATGGGCACTTTAGCGACTGAATCCTGGAGGGAAGGTTGCAGCTTTAGTCGCAGTAAATCACCAACCTCAGAAGTCACTTCACTTTCGTGGGTGTTGGCGGTTGGCCTCCTTTAATGAACAGAGGCCTCGCTCGAATATTAAGGAATCCAAGACCCGAATGCTCATAGATGGAGGGCGTAACATGGTATCATTGATGGAGGGTGTGCTAAGAAATTTGTGTAATGTAACTAGAAAGTACAAGAGTAAAGTTTAAAATTTTTCGGGAGACTCAGATTAGACACTATGGTTTCATCAGAATCTCATATTGGACATTAAGGTTTCAAATGGACCAAATTAGACACTATGGTTTCATATGTATCTCATATTGGACACTAAAGTTTCATAATTCAACATAAGTGATTGTCCAATTTGATCTTTATCCAATATAAGTGAGTGTCCAAAAGCTATGAATTATGAAACTTTAGTGTCCAATATGAGATATATATGAAACCATCGTGTCTAATTTGGTCCATTTGAAACCTTAGTGTCCAATATGAGATTCTGATGAAACCATAGTGTCCAATTTGAAACCTTATCTTTCCCAACTAGATCTTTCCTAATTTTGACAAAACAACGAATATAACAATAATAATAGATCTGAGTTAGAACTTACACATCTTCCAGTGTAGTGATGATAATGCTTGACCTTAAGTATGTTAGTATACATGTCCTAGCGTCAATCAGTTTTATATATTTGATATATACGATATTGTACATTGATGATTAAGCATTTCGATTGTCAATGTCGTATTCATAATTGTCTTCCCCTGGACTTATGTTATCATTAGGTAAGTGGGAACTTATATGATACTTCCTCCGTCCCAAAAAGGTTGGCCAAAGTTGACTTTCACGTGGATTAATAAAGTAAAAACTGTGTGGTTAAAATTTGTGCAGAGAAGATAAAATTAATTTTTGCCACATATTCCTTACATTAAATGGAAATGGTAAATCTTTTTTGGACATCTAAAAAAGGAAATTTGGCCAACTAGAGAAAGGTTAGGGAGTGGCTTTAGCCGCTACCCTATCTTAATCCAAAGTATTATTATTATTATTATTATTATTATTATTATTATTGTTATTGTTATTGTTATTGTTATTGTTATTGTTATTGTTATTGTTATTGTTATTGTTATTGTTATTGTTATTGTTATTGTTATTGTTATTGTTATTGTTATTGTTATTGTTATTGTTATTGTTATTATTATTATTGTTATTGTTATTATTATTCTTATTATTCTTCTTCTTCTTATTATTATTATTATTATTATTATTATTATTATTTATATTATAATTATATATATATATATATTATTTAGTTAATATTTAATTAATAAATAAATATATAAATAAATAAATATTATAAGGGTGGAGAGTGGCGTGCAGCCCACTTCCCCCTTACTATTAATTAGTTTGTTTTATTTATTTATTTGATTAAATAATTGAGATTGGTCTTAATTGAATTAGAACTCATTAATGAGAAAGACTTTCATTGTGATTGGAAATTAGTTTAGAACTAGTATAAATATATCATCTTCCTTCATAATTATGTGATCCGTTTTCTAGATTCAGTATTAACAGTTTATTTCCCTACGAAGAGATTTCCTAGCTTTCTCTTAGGGAGATCTAATCGTTCTTTCAAAAAGGAGAAATCACATGGATACCTAAGGTTAAGGATTATCACTGTTAAGTTGAAAGATCTGTAAGTTCTAACTCAGATATGTTATTATTATTATATTGGTTGTTTTATCATAATCAGGAAAGATCACAAATTATACAGTACACCCGACCGTACCCAGTTGGTATACCGTATGACTGGTATACGGTGAGCACCGTATACCGTCATACGTTTTTGGCAAGCAGAGTATTGAATTCATTATTTTTTATTTCTCTTTTTAAAAAAAAGGTAATAACCTTTTTATTTTTGATCCGATTTTTATAAAATTTATATCAACATTTTTTATTTTTCATGATCTTTCAAATGAGACCAATATTGCCTATGTAATTTTAACATATTAACATTTGCGTATAAAATATGTAACTTTACATGTTAAAATATGTAACTCACGTTCAGTCTGGCCAAATGCAACTCGTTTGTATAAATATGTCTCTACGTGTTACAATATGTAACTTTACGTAAAAAAATATGTAACTCGCATTCAGACAGGTCAAATGCAACTCGTGTGTATAAATATGTAACTCGCGTGTATAAATATGTAACTTTACGTGTAAATATATGTAACTCGCGTCCAGGCATGTCAAATGCAACTCGTGTGTATATATATGTAACTCGCTTATAAAAAGATGTAACTTGCTTATAAAAAGATGTATCTCGCTCATAAAAAGATGTAACTCAATGTATTATCAAATGTAACTGAGGCCACTGATTCACTCCCAAACAGATTCGATCTTCTATTTCACAAACCTATCATCTCCCAAACAGATTCGATTTTCCTTATAATCCAATACTCATTAATATAATAGTTCGATAATTTCTTAAAATTACATAAGCAATATTGGTCTCATTTGAAAGATCATGAAAAATAAAAAATGTTGATATAAATTTTATAAAAATCGGATCAAAAATAAAAAAGTTGTTATTATTTTTTCACAAAAAAAAAAAACAAGCATACTCCGTCGTTTTGCAACCGGGTGCACCATCTTCATGGTGTGCGGGTTGCACGGTATAATTTGCCGACTGTACCTTCCTCTTGGTATAGACAGGTAATTTTGTAAATAAATTCAGCTTCTATCCTGGTTATTTGTTCGTTGTTTCCTCTTGTTCGTCTTCTCGCATAGCTTTCGTTCTTCTTCCGCAGCTTTCTTCCACAGCTTCTTATAGCTTTTATTCGTCGATCGCTTCTTCCTTCTCAGCTCACAGTTGTTGTCGATCTTCCCAGTTTTCTTTTGATCGTACATCTGTTTCCTTCGATCTTCCGCAGCTTTCACCATTTTTCCTAGCTTCGATTTTACTTCGCCTTATGTAAGTAATTTTCCTTCGCCGTTTTTCATTTGTACTCCGTATGTTATTTCCTTCTTCCGTTTCTAAATTTTTTTGTTTCTTCGGTATATCCTTTCATGTAGTCATCTTCATTGTTATAAGTTAGTTTTTACTCAATTCATTTTGTTGTTGTATTGTTATCGCTACTGTTATAAGTTGTTTCAGTTCAATTTTTTTATGTTTCAGATTTTTATATATTGACCATATGGCTAATTCTCGAGGTACTTATTTAATGAACTAAGTCATTACATTAGGTGATTTTTTATGAGTATTTAGTTGATCAGTATTGAGTTTCTGTTTGTTTCTTTGTTTTGTTTTTACCTTGTGCAGATGGTATTTCTTCCAGTGGAAGATTAATTGACGATATAGAATCCAGAGGTGAAATAGTTGGAGCTGAATCAAGTAATATTTTTTTAAATTGCAACTCATATACTTTGTTATTCTTTGATCAATCTGTTTTATATTTTTCTCATGCATTTAGATTTCTTGGATTATGCTGTTAACTTTGAGTGAAGATAGATCTTGTCTGTACAACAGAATCTTTCTGTCGGGCCAAGTATTGCTCGTTGCTTACATTGTCTCACATTTTTTTACTGGAATTTTAGATCTTTAGTTTATTTTTCCTTTATTTTTTTTGCAGTTGACCTTTCTTCTAGTTTTGAGACTGTAGAACTTTCTCATGATCCTGTTTGTGTTGAAACATTGGAGTTCGATATTCTAATTTGAGAAAGAGGGATAGTGGTCGTGGCTTTAGAGGAAGAGAGTTTTGTTGTACTAAGCAAGGTTTGAAAAGGAATAAAGGTGTTATTTGTAAGTAGTACACAAAAGTTGATCATCGTACTAATTGTAAGGCACAAATTTATTTTGAGATAAAATCTACCGGTGAGTGGGCTGTTGTTAGGCACGTTATGGATCATAATCACCAGTTTTGCCCGAACTCATTAGTGCATCATGTTAGATCTCACCGTTCTATTTCTTCTAGTGAGTTAAACTATGCATCATTTGAAAAACAAAGGTGTTAAGATAGCAGATGGATTTTGATATTTGCAAGCGGAAGCAGGCAGATCTCCTTCGGTTGGTGTACTTTTACGTGATGCATACAACGAATTGACAAAATAGATCTAAAAATTTTTGATGGTTGTGATGTTAATACACTGATTAACGTTTTTAAGAACAGACAGTCAAATGAAGAAGATTTCTTTTCTCTTTTGAGATAGATGTGGATGGTTCCTTAGTTAGTTTTTTTGGAGACAAAAAAATGAAAGATGATTACTTAGCTTTTGGTGAGCTAATTGTTCATGATACGACCTATCGTACTAATAAATACGATATGATATGTGGACCGTTTGTAGGTGTTACCCATCATACCCATACCTGTATATTTGGTTGTGGGTTTCTTCTCAATGAGAGAATTGAATCTTTTGAATGTCTTTTCACTACTTTACTGAATTCAATGGATTCTGTGCATCCAATCACTGTTATGACAGATCAGTCATCATCTATGGCTGCTGCAATAGCTATAGTCTTTCCTTCTTCGAAGCACCGTCTTTGTATATGGCATATCATTGAAAACTCTAAAAAACATATACGAAGGATTTTTGGATTTATTTGATCATGTTTTGAAACTCTGTCACACTGTTGCTGAATTTGATTATTACTGGAATAGGTATGTTTCATTGTGTGTATATTTACTTTTATGTTTTCTGCATTTACATTCAACCTGTTTGTATGAGTACACTACTTATCTGTAATGAGTAATATGTTTTATAAAATGAGTATATTGCTTCACATTTTGCAGGATGTTTTCTGCATATTACATAATGACATAGATCAATCATCAAATGTGTAGCCTGAAAATTACATGAAATGTGGCATGGACATGTAAATTTTCAACTGACCCTTCTTTAATTAACTTTAAACTTTAATGACTTAAGTGTTCAGAATACACCAAATGTCAAACTTTATTCTAATCAGAAAACAAATACATAACTTATAAACTCCCTCTAAACTCGATGTTCCTCAAAATCAATGACTCCCAAGTGAGCAGTGTGCTCATGAAAAACTTTTGGTGGGAGAACCTAGGTTAAAGGATCCGGTAGCATGGAGTTTGTACTTATATGTTCAATAGCGACCCTTTTATTTTGAACCCTTTCTTTAATAGCTCGATATTTCACTTCAATGTGTTTTGTCTTACTCGAGCTCTTGTTGTTGTTAGAGTAAAGCACCGTAGAATTGTTGTCACAAAATATCTTGATAGGCTTTGGTAGTTCATTTAATATTTTTAGCCCATCAATAAAATTGTGCATCCATATTCCGTGGTTTGAAGCTTCAAAACAGGCCAACAACTCTGCCTCCATAGTTGAGGTAGCTATCATATCTTGCTTAACACTTTTCCAAGATACAACACCACGTGCTAGTAGATAAACATAGCCTGAAGTAGATCTACTAGTGTCTTTGCAGCCGGCAAAATCAGAATCGGAGTATCCAATGACCTCCAAATGGTGTGATTTTCTATATGTGAGCATATAGTCTCTTGTTCACTTCAAGTATCTCATAACTCTTTTGGCCGCCACCCAATGAGCCATTCCTGGATTACTGAGATATCTGCCTAGCATCCCAACAATGTACGCAATATCCGGACGCGTACAAACTTGAGCATACACAAGACTTCCTACAACAGATGCGTAGGGAATCTTTTTCATTTCTTGAATTTCCAGATTTGTTTTAGGGCATTGATCGAGACTAAACTTGTCTCCTTTAGAGATAGGAGTATCACCCAGTCTACAATCTTCCATGCCAAATCTTTTAAGAACTTTATCGACATAGTTCCTTTGTGATAACCTTAAGATTCCTTGTGATCTCTCATGAAGGATTTCAATTCCTAATACAAAGGAGGCTTCACCAAGATCTTTCATTTCAAAATGTTTTGATAGAAATCTCTTGGTTTCATGCAACATGCCTATGTCATTCGTGGAAAGAAGAATGTCATCAACATATAAGACCAGGAAAAAGATTTTACTCCCACTGAACTTATGATATACACAATCATGTACATCATTCATCTTAAAATCAAAGGATAAAATGACTTAATGAAATTTGTGATACCATTGACGAGAAGCCTGTTTTAGCCCATAGATGGATTTTGTTAATTTGCAAACCATTTGTTTTGGATCTCCTATCAGAAAATTTTCTGGTTGCACCATATAAATAGTTTCATCAATGTCGCCATTGAGAAACACTTTCTTAACATCCATCTCATGAAGCTCTAGATTAAAATGTGAAACTAAAGCCATAATGAATCTAAAAGAGTCTTTTGATGAAACCGGAGAAAAGGTCTCTTTATAATCAATTCCTTCCTTTTAAGTATAACCTTTAGCTATAAGACGAGCTTTATATCTGTCCACATTACCCCTTGAATCCCTTTTGGTTTTAAATATCCATTTACAACCAATGGGTTTACAACATTCAGGTAATGGCATGAGTTCCCAAACTTTATTGTCTTGCATGGATTTATACTCCTCATTCATTGCAACAATCCATTTTTGAGCATTTGAACTTTTCATGGCTTGATGGAAGTTGATTGGATCATCTTCCATAACATCATTTTCTTCCTCATGTTCTTGAATAAACACAAGGACACCGTTCACTGTATCCATGCTTGACACATGTTCTTGGAGATATACAACATAATCACTTGAATTGCGTATCTCCTTTCTCTAGTGGATCGCCGCAATGGCACATTTCCTTGTTGCACTTGTTCTAAAGGAAGTTGAGTTTGTTCATTTTGAACAATTTGTTCAGTTTGGAAAAGAGAAGATGAAATAATGCCTTGTTAAGGTTCATCATTAGTTTCAAAAGAAACATCCATATGAATTGGTTCAGGTATTGAAATCAATTATTTCTCAAAGACAATATCCCTAACTTTATTCTCCCCCCCAAACTTAACATCCTCGAAAAATATGACAGTTCCCATTTCAAAAATATTTTTATCATCAGGATTATAAAATTCATATCCCGTAGATCGTCCCGAGTAACCAATAAAGTAACTACTAACTGTTTTGGGTTCCAGTTTCTTTTCATGTGGCCTATACGGCTTTGCCTCAGCTGGAAAACCCCAAATATGAAAATGCTTTAAACTAGGCTTTTTACCGGTCCAAAGCTCATAAGGTGTTTTAGTGGTTACTTTAGTTGGCACTCGATTAAGAATGTAAGTTGCGGTCTTTAATGCCTCAACCCAGAGGGATTCCGGTAAGATAGAGTGAGAAATCATACTTCTTACCATTTCTTTAAGGGTTCTATTACGTCTCTCAGCAACACCATTCATGCTAGGTGAACCCGGCATGGTGTATTGAGGGACAATCCCACATTCCTCTAGAAATTTGGCAAAAGGACCTGGACGTTGTTCACCTGAGCCGTCATACCTTCCATAGTATTCACCACCACGATCGGATTTGACTTTGTTTATACGTTTGTTGAGTTGATTCTCAACTTCCGCTTTGTATGATTTAAACACGTCCAAGAATTGAGACTTTTCATGTATAAGAAATAAGTAAGCATATCTAGAGAGTAATCGTCTATGAATGACACAAAATATTGTTGAGCATTCCATGAAGGAGTAGGAAATGGCCCACTAATATCAGTGTGTATTAATTCTAAGACATCCGTAGCTCTATATGCTCCTTTTTTCTTATTTTTGGTTTGTTTTCCTTTAATGCACTCAATACAAGTATTGAAATCAGAAAAATCAATGGAATTACGTGTTCCATCAGACACAAGACGTTCAACTCTATTTTTAGAGATGTGACCTAATCGTTTGTGCCATAAAAAACCAGATTGTTCATTATCAACCTTTCGCTTAGTGCCTCGGGTGTGAATATTCAAAACATTATTATATGAAGTTATTGTTTCAAGCATATAAAGATTGTCATATGACATAAAAGAACCAGTCCCTACTATACTTGAATTTAAAGACAAATTAAACCGAAAGTTTCCATAAGAACAATGATAACCCAATTTGTCCAAATAAGAAACAGAAACCAAATTCCGCCTAAATGACGGAACAATAAAAGTGTCTTTTAAATCCAAATAGAAACTGGTAGATAATAACAATCTAAAATGCCCAATAGCTTCCACATCCACTGCTTTGCCATCTCCCACATAGATGCATCTTTCAGCATCATTTGGCTTGCGGTGGCTCAGACAACCCTGCATAGAAATACTGATGTTAGATGTTGAACCAGAGTCTAACCACTAGGGGTGGGAAAATATACCGAAATTTCGGTATACCGGTCATACCGTACCGAAAAATACCGATTTTACCGAACTTTTCGGTATACCAAAAAATTCGGTACGGTATGATACCATACCGGATCACTTCGGTACGGTAACGGTATGTAGTTTTTAAATTTTCGGTATTTCGGTATATACCGAAATACCGTTAATTATCGGTATGGTACGGTATATACCGATATACCGAAATAGAATTTGTAAATTATTAGGGGTTTAGGGCCAAACGAGCCAAACCCATTAAATGAAATTACTAAATTATCAAGGCCCAACAACTTGTGGCTCTACGCCTCTTCTACGCAGCTTGGGTGCACCGGCTCAGGGATTAGAGACAAATCCCTACTTAAGTAAACTTCTGCCGTTCTTCGTCTGCAGCTTCGTCCGTAGCTCGTCCGCAGCTCGTCTTAAGCTCTTCGCCTCTTCTGCCGTTCTTCTTCACTCGTCCGCTCTTCCACAACTTAGTCATTCACAGCTCAGTCAGTTCGCAGCACCCTCGTCCGCAGCTCTTCGACTCAAGTTAAATTTGTAGGTTTTGTCACTTTTCTATGAATCCTCATCCCACATTCCCACCCATATTTCTTTCAATCTTTTTTCCAATCTTTCTACTATAGTGTGTGGTAGACCTGTCCACTGTTGATTCGAACGGTAGAAAGACCTTTTCAAATAAGTTAAATAAGACCTTTGGTGTATTTGAATAGTTCGAGCTGTTGATTCAAATAAGACCTGCAATCTTTTATTGCTGTATTTGAAATTTTGAATAGTGTTTTAATTCAAGTGTTTTGAGAAAATAAAAGATTGAGAAATCTAATAGAAAGAATTTACTTCAAGCCAGGAAATAGAGGACGAAGAGTAAACATTTCAGCCATTATTGCCCCATTGCCCACATATCTGGGAAAAAAGCAGTTTCATCATACACCAAAAAAATATGCTAAAATGCCTTCTAAAAGTCATCTAAATTTTTATCTCTGTTCCAAAATATGTGATGTTAGACCAATGTATAACTTTTCTGTTTCTGCTTGTGTGATTATCATGTGTTCATTAACCCAATTTTATTATACGCAATTCGTTTATCACTCTTTCCAAGTATTTCATGGACAAATTACATGAAAACACGGATTTGTTTAGGAAAAGAGGATAGTAGTGAGTTAGGGGGAGTATATCATTTAACAACACATACCAACAGCAGATCCATAACTTGGAGACTGAAGAAGAACTTCAAGAGCCCGATACATGCAATTCTACCTTTTAGATTCCACTTCACAAGAAATGTGAATAAGAGAAAGAAATTTTAAAAAGACCATTAGAGATACTGACCAATTTAAAAACATTAACAAAACCGGGAATGAGTTGGTTGGCACGGTACCACTAAGAAAACTAGTGATTTCACCAATTTATTAAATTGGCAAGGTTCCTATATTTTCTATTGTATTAAATGTATTTTCCAGAATTGATTAACATGATATTTGTTACATTTTCAGCATTGCTAATGGAATCTGAATCATCTCACTCACTGCCTAGTCTAGCTAAATCACCGGCCACGCTTGAATCTGAAATAGAGAATGGTACTTCTAGACGGAAACGAACAAGTGAGTGTTTAACAGAAAATCCTCCTGTAGCACCTAAAACGAGGAGTATTTATTGGCACCATTGTACCAAAGGTTCGAGGAAGTTAGCAGATGGGAGCACTCAAAGTATTGGAATATGCATTCACTGTCAAGCTAAGATTTCAACCGTACAGGGAAGTACTAGTGGTTTAAAGAATCACTTAGTCAAGAGATGCAAATTAAGTCATATGAAGGAGGGAGTGACAAAAGTCAATCTGTGCTCACGAGTGAGATGATGGGACAGGTAACTACATTGACTCCTCATACATTTTATCAAAAAAGGTGTGAATTGAAACTTATCGAGTTTGTAGTTATTGATGAAATGTCATTTCGGGCGGTGGAAGGAAAGGGATTTATTAGTTTTGTGCATGAATTACAACCTAGGTTCAAAATTCCTGACCGTAAAAAGGTTGCGAGCATGGTTTATGATTTGTTCTTAGTTGAAAAAGCAAAAATAAAAAGTGTGATTAGTGGTCAAAGGGTAAGTATCACAACCGATACTTGGACGTCAATTCAGAACATAAATTGCATGGTGGTCACTGCTCACTTTTTAGATAATGAGTGGAAGTTGCACAAAAGAATAATCAATTTTACAAAAATCACTAGTCATGTTGGGGAGGAAATAGGCAAGGCGGTTGAAATTTGTTTGAGAGAGTGGGGGATAGACAAAGTGTTCTCTATAGTAGTCGATAATGCTTCTTCCAATGACACGACAATTGATTATTTAAGTACTTGCGTTTTGGATGTCACATCCTTAACTTAATTGTTAAGGATGGGTTGAAGGAACCTAAGTCTTCGATTAAAGCTATAGACAATGCGGTCATGTTTCTTCATTCTTCACCGGCTAGGTTGAGTATGTTTAGGGAGTTTGCCGTGCTAGCCAAGTTTTCTAATATGTCAACCATGCCAATGGATGTCAAAACAAGGTGGAATGCCACTTACAAAATGCTCGATGTTGCTTTGAAATATAGAAGGGTGTTTGAAAGGATGACCGAATAGTGGTGTCCTTTTGTGAGTTATTTTAATGAGAAAAATAAAAAGGGTGAAGCAAGGGTAGGACCACAAATTGCTTTAGATCGGGAGAATGCACGGGCTTTTGTGCATTTTTTTAAAAAGTTTTATGATGCTAAATTAGAGTTGAGTGCCACAAAAATGCCTACCTCTCAATTGATCTACCAATCAATGATTGCCCTTCAAATTGAGATTGAAAAAAAGGTGAGTGATAAGTCTGACCCAACTCTAAGCAAGGTGGCTAGCGCAATGAAGTTAAAATTTGACAAATATTGGGGGGATTGGAATGATATGAATCCTTTGGTTTTCATTAGTAATATTTTGGACCCTTGAAACAAATTCCAAATGATTAAAGTGAGCATTAAAAAGATTCAAGGTGATCCCACAAAGGTCAAAGACTTCATCGAGAAAACTAAAAAATATTTGATAGCTTTGTGGGTGGAGTATAAGGGAATGAGTGAAACCTTGAATGTGGAGAGACAAAGCCTTCAAGTGCAAGTGGATGATGGAGAGAGTGGTGGAGGTGATGGCCTTTGGGATGAGTTGTTCAATGATGTGGACGCACAAAATGAAGAAGAGCAACTTCAAGAGATATCGAATGAGGTTGAAAAGTACCTAAGTGATGAGATTGAAAAAAGATCTAATCCATCTTTCAATCTTTTGGAATGGTGGAAAGGGAGCGAAACTAGGTACCCAATTCTTTCAATTATTGCCAAAGATATCTTTGCAATTCCAAGTTCAATGGTTCCTAGTGAGTCCGCATTTAGTTTGGGGAAAAGAGTTGTGGATCCTTTTAGAAGTTGTTTGAGTCCCAAAATGGTGGAGGCATTAGTGTGTACTAATGATTGGTTAAGAGTGGAGGAGTTCAACTTTTATAAAGATCCAAGTGATGAAGACCTAGAGTTGTATAAACAAATTGAAGAACTCGAAAAATGTAAGTCTTTATTTAATTAAATGTACACATAAATTATTATTATGTTTATCTTATGGTTTTTGTATGCTTATTTTTGCAGTTGCAAATGCTATTTAGCATTGGACTCTTGAAACGATGAATGGTATTTTGGGACGTTTCTCTTTTAATTTCTGGACTGACAGATTGTTTTTGCCGAAGGTAGTATTAGACTTATGTGATCCAGAAAGTTATGATTACTTGTTTACATTCTGAAGTTAATAAAGAGCTGATTTACCAATAATTCCATTGATGTAACAGGCAGTTGAAGCTAATGAATGTAGAGCTTGGTAACAAGGAGTTAACAAAAGCCATTCAATGCAATAGCAGTAGCCGAACTTTTCTTCTGCTGTTTCTATTTGTACTCAGGATTCATTTGGTTCTTTCATGTGATTTTTTCAATTCAGACTTTGAAACTCTGACTGACCGTTAATTTTGAAACTCAGGATTCTGTTTCTGTTTGTCATCCTTCCCTGTGTTTTATGGCAACTAATTTCATTTGTATGTTACATCTATGCCTGTGATTGGTACAACTAAGTTCAGGAAGGGTTGGGTGCAGTTCATTTTTTAGTAATTCATGTATTAATACTCATTTAAGGTTATATTCCATAATTTAAAATTGATTTTAGTAATTTTCGGTATAAAACGGTATAGGTTATATACCGTACCGAATTTTCGGTATACCGAAGTTCGGTACGGTAACAGTATGAGATTTACGAATACCGTTTTTTCGATACGATATGCGGTATGGCGTGAAAATTTCGGTATGTCGTACCGAACCAGCCCTACTAACCACCAAGTATTTCTAGGTACTGAAGCTAAATTGTTTTCAGTACAAACCAAGGTAAGGACCGTACCTTTCTTCACTTTCCAAGCGTGATACTTGGTACAATCCTTCTTCATGTGTCCAGACTTCTTACAGAAGAAACAGGTTGTTTCACCTTCCTTATGTTTCTTCTGTACTGGATCTTTAGCAACTTCATTCTTAATGGGAGTTCTCTTCCTCTTTTTACCCTTATCCTTAGAGGTACTAGCCAAGTGAGCACTTTTTGTCTTATTTTGTTTCATCCTCTCTTCCTTTTGCACGCAATATGAAATGAGCTCATTAAGAGACCACTTCTCCTTTTGACAGTTATAACTAACCTTAAAAGGATCAAATGCAAAAGGAAGAGAGTTCAAGACTATGTGTACGAGAACATCTTCCGATATCTCAATCTTAAGTGTCTTGAGCCTAGAAACAATATAAGACATTTCCCTAATATACTCCCTTATATTTCCTTTTCCTGAATACCTTTTGGAAGTAAAGTCTTTTAATAACATGCTTATTTCTGCCTTATCGCTTTTAACAAAACGTTTCACAATTTCAGAAAGGAAATCCTTGGCATTAGTAACCTCATCGGATTCAGCACCCCTAAATGATTCTGGAATGCCACGCTTTATGATCATAAGACTTAAGCGATTCGAGCGATCCCACTTCTCATAGTACCTTTTTTCATCTTGGGTACTAGCATCCGTAAGAGAAGCGGGTTGCTCTACCCTCCATGCAGCCCAAAGTTATTAGAATATTTTCTTTCCATTGCTTAAAGTTAGTACCATTTAGGACAGGGATGGAGTTGAGATTGGCAGATATGCTCGAAAAATTAACTGTAGAAAGAACAAGGCAATAAACATATATTTTAGTGAAATTGTAAAATGATATTTAACCCATCACAAGATACCAAATGCACCATTAGTATTTCATCTTTGGACAATAATACTAATTGCTAGCGGTTCTCTTGTTGTAATAATAAAATATAACAATAACACATATAAAAGAAAAATCCACCTTTGGGTTGACTTTTTTCTTTTAAAGTGCAACTTTATAATTGTTATAAATCTTCCTTTGGGTCGATTAATATTTACTTGAACTATATACAAAGTATGTACTATGTTTAATATTTTATATGAGCAACTTACACAATAGAATCACTTTGATGACATATTGTTTCCATATACCCATTTAATAAATATTAAACTCCTTTTATTTTACAATTTCATCAAAGTCCAACAAAAATCCTTCCGTAATTTTACTTAAAAAATAGCTTACGGCAATTAAAGAACTTGTTGAATCAAACATAATCATCAGCAATTGACTTCAAATTGAATCAATCAGATCGATCAGCGGTGACTTAATTCATATAGACTTAATTCATATAATCATTTGATCGAAATAATGAAAGCAATTTTAAAAAAAATAGGTATTTGATCAACACAATTCAATAAGATTTGGCACATCTCTTAAAAAAAATGACATACGGAAAATATGGTTGCTAATCTTGCTAGACACATTCCACTAAGTGGAAGAAAAAAAAACTCTGTATTCATTTAGAGACCGTTTGGCCACCCTCATTTTCGGCTTATCAGGCTTATCAGTCAACTTTTTTACCAAACACGTAAATTTTGCTTTCGCGCGCTGAATTGTGTAATAAGCCGAAAAAGTAAGGTTGGGGTTACTTTTCTGGCTGTATTGGCTGAAGTTACTGTAGATGACTATTTTAGCTATTTTTACATATAATTTTTTCTTTATTTTATTAATAAAATATATTTTAAAAATATTTTTTTCTTGTATCAGCAGAATTAGCCAATGCAGCCACTTCAGCCAGAACTTCATAAATTTCAGCAGAATCAGCCAGAACAACCAATTTTCGTGCTGCCAAACGGGCTCTTAATTTACTCCGAACCAATCAATAACTTGATTCAAAGCATTAAACATGCGGAAAAGAAACGGAGCAACAACTTAAGGTCATCAGCGGTTTATTATTTAAACTTGCAGCGAAAAAGACTTGACCGATCATTACTTTGAATCAAGATTCAGATACGAATCGGAAAAGAGAAAAATTGCAGCGGCGATATTTACACAACGTACTAATTCAGTATTGCAACAATAATAACGCACGACATATGACCAATAAAATGGAGTACGAAAATTTCGAACATCGCAGAAAAAAAAAGATAAACTCATATGTGGATTCAAACAATTTCAAGGATCTATAATGGTAGACTCTGATACCAATCGATGGATATTCATATATATATATATATATATATATATATATATATATATATATATATATATATATATATACACACACATATATATATATATGTATTTATATATATATATCAATAAATTCCATATGCAATATATATATAAATATATAATAGCTAAACTCCATATAAATCCATCAATTTGATTTTGAGAATAAAATCTAACCTTGAGAATCCATGTGCGGTTGAAGCAAAAACCCAAGAGATGACCAAGAATATGAAAATAATTGTAGTACGGATGCCTTCCAATGCAATGTAACCCTATCCTTTGAGATTTCTTTTAACCTTACAATTGATTGGATATGATAAGGCTAGCTCAACATAGTAACGGTTAACCTTAATGATTCTCCATTATTCCTTCATTATTAATATAATATTGGTATCATCTAGAATAATTTATTAGGCTATTTTCCATTACTATGCCGTTACAATTATCTCTTGATTTACATGCACCGGGGGTCATAACCGTTGTATCACTTTAGTGTATTATATTTAATTTGACCCGTCACCAAAAGAAATATATTATCATGATATCTACACTTTTATTATTTCATGAATAGCCACTGTATTATTTATTATTTATCTGATGATAATCACATTTTAATTAATTACATATTAGGTCCCTTTTATTGTTTCTAACAGTAGCACCTATAGAAGATAAGATGCAGGAGTCTCGTTTGCGGTGGTTTGGGCATATGTGTAGAAGACCGAGTCATGCACCTGTTAGACGACTTGAGGTGTGGGGGGGAAGAGTTAGAGAAGAGAGGGAGGGGAAGACCCAAACATACTTGGATTAGAGGAATCAAAACTGATATGCGTCTTCTTGGGTTGGATGAGAGTATGGCTTTGGAGAGAACAAAGTGGAGGGCGCACATCCGTGTGGACGATTGATGTCTTGTCTACCTTTCCTCTCTTTTTTCTTTTATCGTTTATCTTCCGTATCTTTTTATATTCTTATGTTATTTTTATCTTCTAGCTTTTTTATGCTCTTTTATTTTTTATCTTTTATCTTTGTTATATTCTTTTGTTATTGTTATCTTATATTTATTTATCTTTGTTTTATTCATTTTATCTTACTTTTTTTTCCTTTTCTTGCCCGTCTTCTCTTTTTGGCATCGATATCATAGATCATCGATTCATGCTAGCCGACCCCAAATTCTTTTGGGATTAAGACTTGGATGTTGTTGTTGTTGTAATGCTCATTCCATTACCACACATGTATAATATGATAATATTGCTCATCTTTTATTTTTTTAAATGTTATACTCATATTTTTTATAACCAACACATGTAATATAATCACTTCATATTGTAACACATTTATTATAATCATAGTAATCATTGTGGTATAACAGTAACTCATTTTAATACTCAACATGTAATTCATTGAATATAAACATGTTTTTTCATCTGAAGTACTGTAATCATTTGTATAATATATATTCTTTGAATATTCTGAGCTATATTTTTGAAAATTACCCTTATGTGAAAATAAATTTATTCCAAAGAATGCTCATTTTGTTACTGTACTATACTCATTGTACTATTCATGAATACTCATATATGATCACACTATTAATCCTTTTCATACCTTCTTTGGTTGTTCTGAACACTGACCTTCATCTGCAGTGCTCCCTTGTTTTGTTCATCGATGAAGCCATAACCAAATCCTCCACTCGCCATTTCTTCTTTCTCTCTTTTGTTCAAATCTTGCGTTGTCCAGCCAATTATTGCTGGTGTTCTTCTTTGTATCCTTCTTGATTTGATCACCACTCTATCAACATAAAATATCCGCACATTGTAAAATTTAGAATTTATCATAAACCATTAAAGGTATAAATCTACAAGGCATTTAATATTTATCATTAAGACTTCATAAGTTTATTTAAACTTACAATAATAAACAACAGAGATCCTAGAAAATGCCTTGTTCTGTTCTCATTCCAGAAATCTTTTCCTTTGATCAATGTTTGCAACGTATAGCTACACCAGTCTAATTTCTTCACCCTTAAGTCATCATCCAAAACTTTCAGAATGTGTTGGTTGACAAAAAAATTCAGCTTTCCTTCAATCAATAGAGTGACTAGAAGAACAAAAAAGTTTTTCTTAAACCAACCTCCAGCTTCTCTGGTTTCTTCTAAAATTTTCTTCAGAACACCTGTTTTGACTTGGCCTTTACCATTTCCGAGGTCAGTTCTGCTTGATCGTCAATCTTTTGTTGTATATTAAACATTCCTTTTGGGAAACCTAGAGTGTATTGCACAGATTCTTCAGTAAGGGGAGGTCGGAGATACAAATAAATAAGCACATAGTTATTAAATTCAAACCTTCTTACAATCACTTATGAATAGACATATTTTTGTTTCCATCATAAATCGGTTGTTTGTAGTAGTGACTGTTCAACAAGGGAAACTGATGGAGTATATGGGTCTGAGCCCCAGGACCCACATACTCGGAAGAACAGAGCACGAGACAGAGTGGCGCCCTCGTCGGCCAAACGCCCTCGTCGGCCAAGACGCCCCCGTCGGCCGAGAGGAAGCCAACCCGGATTATGATCCCGAGTCCAAGGAACCCGGGTGCCCTCGTCGGCCGTGCCCTCGTCGGCCACGAGGACCTCCCAGAATCGGATCCTACACTTACTCACTTGTACAGCCCATTAGTGGCTTTGTATTCGGCCCAGTAGCGGTCCAGTTGTAAATGGGCCTCCCAAGCCCAAGGCTTGGGAGCCCAACCCTAATTTTCTCTATAAATACTCCCCTTGGGAGTAGTTATAGGAGCGACAAATTCATTCTATTGAAGCATATTATTGCACTTCTCTCTCTAGCTCTCACTTCTCTCTAGAATCTAGGAGTTAATACTCTATCATTTGGTGCTCTCGTTGAGAGCTAGAACAATCAAGTTAGCACCCTTCGTCGCTACCAAGCACAGCTAACCACTGATCATGGGGAGAACTAAGTCAAACCGCAACCTCGTCAGCAAAGCCATCCCTGAGGACCAAGAGCCCAGGGAGCACGATGAGGACGCCACGGCCGACCAGGTCGGCGGAGGGGACCTCTTCCAGGAGGCCTTCAACCTCACAACGGACCTCCGCAACCAACTCAACGGCGGCGCCCCTGATGCCCGCCTCGGCTTGGACAAGAAGCGAGCTGAAAAGACGGATCACGCCCCGGCCCAGCCTATGGCCGCGGCCTCTCCGTCCGTGGATCCACAGGTCCAGGCCGCGCTGTCGGTCATCATCGCCAGCCTGGCTCAGAACCCCACCGTCCTCAGCGCACTCTTGCCAAGGACCGGGGGAAACGTCACTCCACCTCCTCATCCCCAACCGTTGGCCGACCAGATAGGCAACAATGAGGGGGTTGTGGCCCAGGACACGGCGTCGTCCCACTCCCACCCTGCTTCCCCTCTTCGGCCCGGGCAGACCCCAGCGCGTGGAAAAGCCTCTGCCTTCAAAAGGCTAGGTGACGCGCGCCGTCGTCCGGTTTCGGAGAGGATGGCGGGACGGATTGGTGATCTTCGTCCTGGCTCGCCAAGGGAAAGTTTGGGGTCTGTGTCCCGGACAGCGGACCAGCCTCGCCCGGACAAGGGCAAGGGGAAGTTGCACGAGGATGACGTACGTCACCAGATCAACGCGGCTCACAACGAGCGCCTGAGGAACCAGCCGGGCGCCGCTGCGGCCGATAGGGACCCCCGGGACGAGGTCATCGCCCAGCTGGAAAGGAGGCTGGCCCAGATGGAGGCCAAGCAGTCGGCCAACATCCCTACGGCCGGCGCCTCCAACGACCCCGGCCTCAACGCGCTCATGAACAAAGTTAGCGCCCTGGAGAGGGAGCTGGCCGAAGGGCGGGGTGACCCCATCATCCAGGTCAGGACGAGGACCCCTTTCACCAACAGGGTCCTCTCGGCCCCCATCCCTGAGAAGTACAGGGGGAACGCCATCAAGTCCTACGATGGCCGATCAGACCCCCAGGAGCACTTCAGCCGTTACCAGAACAACATGCTGATGGTGAACGCGTCCGACGAATACCTCTGCCGTTGGTTCCTCTCTACTCTCGAGGGGCCAGCGTACGAGTGGTTCAACGGACTACCAGAAGGAAGCATTGACTCGTGGCAGGATCTCGCCCAGCGCTTCCTCACTCACTTCGCCGGAAGGAAGCGCGCCAAGAAGTATTTCACCCACCTCCTCTCCGTCAAACAGCAGCACGAGGAGTCCCTCCGGTCATTCATCGACCGGTGGACGAGGGAGACAGAAGAGGTCGAGGGGGCCGATGAGCGTACCCTCCTCGCCTTGTACCAGGGAGCCCTCCGCAGCTCCCCGTACGCCAGGAGCCTCATCACTGACCCCCCGAGGTCGTACGCCAAGGCGCTCCAACGCGGAGGCTTGTATGCCGACGCCGACGAGCTCCACAATCACAAGAGAGAGGGGGGCCATCCCCCCAAGCAGACAAATCCTTCGCCGGCCTCGGGTCCGTCCCCGGCCGGCCAGGGTGCCCAGGGCCGCCACGGCTCTGGTGGACAAAGTAAGAAAGACCGCCACTGGCGGCCGAGGCTGGAACGGCCGGGGGTAGCCCTCACCCGCCCGGTCGGCACCATCCTCGATTATGCCGAGAAGCACGGCCTCATCGAGCAGGCTCCTCGGCTGGCCGAGGAGGTCCTGGCCATCCAACAGGGTGGCACGTATTGCCGGTTCCACAAGAACTCGTCGCACAACACCGACGATTGCATCACATTGAAGAAGGCCATCGAGCGCCTTATTCGCCAGGGGGAACTCTCCCAGTTTGTCAAAGGTGGCCCACGTAAAAACACTTGGGTAAACACCGGCAAACGTGGGGGCGAACCCTCTGCGAAGAAGCGCGAGATTGGTAGGCTCAGCGACGACGAGGACTTTGAGGAGCCTCCGCCGAAGAAGAATCACATCCACCTCATCGTAGGCGGGAACACTGGCGGGGACTCCGCCACTCAGAGAAAGAAATGGGCCCAATCCCTTTACATTGGGGAGGTGTCCCACGTTCCCCCTCAGCCGAAGAAGCAGCGGACGGAGGCGATCACCTTCACCGACAAGGATCTGCCTCCAGGTACGGAATCACACAGGGATGCCCTCGTCATCCGATGTGAGATCGGTGACTCCATCATCCACCGTACTTACATCGATACGGGGAGCTCCGTCAATGTGATGTACTTGGACACCTTCAGGCAGCTGAAGCTGGACAGAGCTCTGCTGAAGCCGATCAAGACCCCGTTATCCGGCTTCACCGGGGACTCTATCGACGCCGAGGGCACGATAGTCCTCCCCGTGGAAGTCGGTGACGGCCCCCACCATGCCAAAATTGACATGGAGTTCATGGTGGTCAACCTCCAGTGCGCCCACAACTTGATCTTGGGCCGGCCAGCGCTGGAGGACTTGGAGGCCA